TATTTATTTATTTTTTGAGTTGAAGTCTCACTCTGTCACCCGGACCGGAGTGCAGTGGCCGCTCCCGGCCACCGCAGCCTCGACCTGCTGGGCTCCGGCGATCCTACCACCTCAGCCTTCCAAGTAGCCAGAATTACAGGTATGCGCTACCACGCCCGGCTGATTTTTTGATTTAGCGTAGAGATGAGGTCTCGCTGCCCAGGCGGTCTCGAACCCGCAGACTCTGGCAATCCACTCACCTCAGCCTCCCAAAGGCGCGGGATTACAGGCTGAGCCACCGCATTTCAAATTTCAAATTTTCAGATTAGTGATATTCAATCTGTATAATAACAAACATATGACACAGGTTTGTAAAAGGAACAGGCTATACCATCTAGCCTAGGTATGCAGTAGGCTATAACATCTAGGTTCATGTAAGTATGCTCTGTAATGTACACACAACAAAGAAATCATCTAAGGATACACTCCGCACAATGTATTCCTATCATTAAGTGATGCATGACTGTACTAATACAGTGGGCTTAAAACCAACTATGTAAACAATCACATAATATAAATTACCTAAACATTCCAATTAAAAAGCAGAGATTGTCAGGATGCATAAAAGGCAAGATTCAACTATATATTTAAAGTACGGCAGGGTATGGTGGCTCATGCCTGTAATACCAGCACTTTGGGAGGCTGAGACAGGAGGATTGCTTGTGCCCAGGAGTTCAAGACCAGCCTAGGCAACACAGTGAGATGCTGTCTTTACAAAAACTAGCCAGGTGTAGTGGTGCACACACAACTATAGTCTCAGCTACTCTGGAGGCTGAGGTGGGAGGATTTCTTGAGCCCAGGAGTTTGAGGCTGCAGAGAGCTATGGCCATGCCACTGCACTCCAGCCTGAGCAACAGAGGGAGATCCTGTCTAAAAAAAAAAAAAGAATATATGTTTTTAGAAACAGAATAAAGATACTGACAGGTGAAAAGGACAGGAAAAGATGTACCACGCAATCACATGACTTAAGAAAACCAGTGTGGTGACATAAGAAAACCAGAAATTTTGATATTTTATTTTTCAATTATCACTCATTTAAAGATATTTGTGGGAGTGGAAACGGATATTCTGGCCTTATTCTTGATCTTATAGAAAAGGGTTTAATGTTTCATCACTTAAAAATTATGCTAGCTAATGATTTTTCACAGATGCATTTTAACAGAAAGTTTCTTTTTCTAGTTTGCCTTTTCGCATTTTCTGCATTTATTGACATGATCTTTTTTCCTTTATTGTGTTAATATTGTAAATTACTTTTATTTTTTTCAGTGTTAGACCAGCCTCATGTTAACAGGGTAAATCTAATTTGAGACCCTAATGTACCAGACTGGAGTGCAGTGGCCACTCCCGGCCACCGCAGCCTCGACCTGCTGGGCTCCGGCGATCCTTCCGCCTGCCTTCCGAGTAGCCGGAATTACAGGCATGCGCTACCACGCCCGGCTAATTTTTTATTTATTGTAGAGATGAGGTCTCGCTGCCCAGGCGGGTCTCGAACCCGCGGGCTCAGGCAATCCACTCACCTCAGCCTCCCAAAGGCGCGGGATTACAGGCTGAGCCACCGAGCCCAGCTCCAGAGTTTATTAAAAATTGTGTATTTATTTTTACATGTTTAAGCTTCAGTCACCTTCAAAGTACTTTTCCTTTGACTCAATACACCTATCGAGTTATTTTTCCACTGCTCAAAACGGTTTCTGAACTCTTTGGTTTTGACGCCTTTTAGTGCTTCTGTCATTTTTTGTTTCACTTCTTCCACAAGGACAAAAAGTTTCCCTTGGAGGACTTTTTTCATCCAGGGAAACAAAAAACATTGCTGGGGTGAGATCAGGTGAACAGTAAGGGTGGGACAGGGAGGTCATGCTGTTTTTGGTCAAAAAATGCCAAAAACAGCACGGAGTGGGCAAGTGTGCTCATAAATCACCACCCATCATGAAATAGGCAAAGTTGGTGAATGAATCTGCAAAAAAATATTCACCGAAGCGGTAAGCAGGCTCTCACAGCAACACTAGCTGGTACACTGATGCTGATGGATTCCTAGAAAACTTACCTAGCAGAGGAAGCCTGTACTACAAGAGACCATTCCTCCAAAAAAAACTGTTTTCGGAGGGTTCCCCTCATAGATATAATAGAAACATTACACACAAACATGCACATCTTATACATACATATAAATAATATGTACATATATAAACACACACAGATCAAGCACATGAGCAAGAGCATGAACATGTAAAATCTGAAACAAACTTGGCAAAACGTTAAGTAATGCCTGGTGAATCATAGGGTGTCTATGTTCATTTTATTATTCTTCCAACTTAAAATGTTCAAAATAAAAAGTAGGGAAAAATAAACCTTTAAAGATACTTCAACAAAAAAAATCTCCTTAGAAAATGATGAAAACTTGTTTTATTTAGCACAGTTTACCTTTATTTTAAAAGAAATACACAATTCTGGAATATTTCATTTCATGCTATAAAAACTTCCCCCCAAGTTCTTCAGCCTAACATTTCAGAAACTGGATGAATTAAAACTGTCATAGTGGGTCATTTTTTAAATAAATGCTATGCTAAAGCTCTGAGTTGAAGTCTAAATCACTCCTTAGAAAAATGACACGTTCTAAGTAGGTCAGAAGCAGCTAATTTTTCTTATTATCATTTCTTCTCCCTTTTAAAATGGAAACTACTCCTCCCTCGGCAATCCACTTACCTAAAATATCCTGCTAGTATAAAAATTAATGCTATATAGTGAAACAGAAAAAGAACCAAAGAAATAAACACAAAAAAATACATTACAGGACAGATGGCTTTACTGGCAAGTTCTTCAACATGTTAAAATGTAGGGTAAGGGTCAAATGACTGATTCCCAAATCTCACAAAGTTAGTAATAAAATAGAATATTACAAACTAATCTCATTTATAAACATAAGCTTCTAGCAAAAGCCCAGCACATAATAATCCATAAATGAATGAATCTATTCAACCAGTACATTCTACTTTGTCCTACGCATGAAGGATTACAAACGCAAAAATCAAAAACAAAAATGCTAGTGCACAGAAACTGTAAATAATTCACATGTAAGATTTTGTAAATATAAAGAATCTAAATATAAAGTTAATGGAATTGGCCACAGAGTTTAGTTAGGTTGCTGAAAACAAAATGAGCATACAAAAATCGACTGCATTCTATGTATCAACAATAAACAGAAAATGAAATTTTTAATAACATACCATCACAAATATGAAGTACTTGGATTAAATCTAACCTAAGATAAGAAAGACCTTTATGGAGAAAGATATAGAGAAGACCTAAATAAATAGAGAAAAGACTATAGAGTCAATACAATCACACTCAAAGTCCCAGTAAGCTTTCTTTTATGGACATTGACAGGCTGATTCTAAATGTATACAAAAGTGCCGAAGACCAAGTATAGTGAAGACATAGGTCAAAAAGGAAATAAGATCTGGAACTCTGCACTACAGATATCAATAACTGCCATAAAGCTATAGTCATTAACATAGTGGTATCAGAGATGAAATATAGACAAATAGTCCAATTCTACTTAATATAAGGCATGAAACAAGAGAACAGAATAATATAAAAGAATCATTTTTGCAGAAATATATTGCATACTTAGAAAAGCCAAGAAAAATCAATGAACAAACCATTAGAACGGTGAAAGAAGACTCTCTTGGTCCCTATGGGGCACTATAGGAAGGTACTTATTGCAACTTAAAGGGTCAGGAAAAACCTTCTGAAAGACCTTTCAGCAAGCTAAGCTGAAATAGAAGAATAAGTAAGAGTTAGCCAGGTGCAAAGAGGAGAGTGAGTTTTCTAAGCAGAGGCAACACGAACAAAGACTTAGAGGTAAGACACCACGTGGCACAACAGAAACTGCAGGTAATGCAAACAACTAGAGCACAGAATTCATGCCAAGCAAGAAGTAATAAACAAGAACCAGCACATAAGAGTCTTGTGTGCCATGATAAGGTATTCGGACTTTATCCTGATGGCAACGGGTGTGTTGAAGAATTTTGAATAAGCAGGTGATATTATTAAATAAATTCTTTAGAAATAACATATTGTAAAAGGACATTAGCTAGAAGGGGGAGAAGAGGAATGGAGAAGAGACAACTGAAGTCAGGTAGACCAGGGGTCCTCAACCCCTGGACCACGGACGGGTACCAGTCTGTGGCCTGTTAGGAACCAGGCCACACAGTAGGAAGTGAGTGGCTGGCGAGCCAGCAAAACTTCATCTGTATTTACAGCTGCTCCCCATCTGTTCACACTGATGCCTGAGCTCTACCTCCTGTCAGATCAGCACTGGAAAGCCTGCTTCCATTTCCAACATCCTATCTTTGTGAAGCAGGGTTTTCTGCAGTGATAGCAACCAAAACGAGATTATGAAGTAGACTGGACATAAGCAGCACACTTCGGTTGTCACTGTCTCCCATCATACCCAGATAGGACCATCCAGGACCAGTAGGAAAACAAGCTCAGGGCTTCCACTGATTCTGCATTACGGTGAGCTGTAGAATTATTTCACTATATATTACAATGTAATAATAATGGAAATAAAGCTCACAATAAAAACAATGTATTTGAGTCACCCTGAAACCAATACCTGCACCCCCCTCCAGTCCGTGGAAAAATTGTCTTCCATGAAACCAGTCCCTGATGACAAAAATGTTGAAGCCCGCTGAGGGAAACAATTTAAAAGCTGTGACAGTATTCTAGGTGGGAAGTGATGATGGTATGAACTGAGGCAAACTGTGTGAAAACAAAGAAGCAGAGATGGGAGCATCAGTCATCAGGCCTTTCTGACTGACAGGATGTCAGCATAGAGGAGTCGAGGAAGCTCCCTAAAGTCAAACAGTTTGGGTGATACAAAGTGGACATGCCAAACAAGGCACACAGAGGAAAACGTCTACGGCTTTTCTAAGCAGAAAACCAAATGATTAAAATCTTACCTGTTTTTGTCAAACGATGTTCTAGCCAAACGTGATTGCAAAATAGCTGTGATCTATTAAAAGAACCGTTTTTAAGGTATACATATAAGTATGTGTAAGTAAAATATCAATACAGGTTAATTCACAATCAAAGGTACACACTGTGAGAAATACTTACCATGGCGGTTTGGTCACCCAATTTGTCAAGGCAGGATGCTCTGTGAAGCTACAATATCATAAATACATACGAATTTATTTTTTTCGAAGATGACATGAAGAATTTATTTAGAAGCAAAGAAAAACAGTAATTACTCTATTACTTAGCAACAGTCAAGATTACTTCTGATATACCTATGGCTTCTTAATATATAGTTTTCAAATTTAACGTTTCAAGTAAATTTGCTATTTTAGAAAAGTGATGGTAGTTTGGTTAAGATACATAGATAAGAAATGTACAAAAACAGTAGTTTCTGCCTTCAGTTTGCGAAGTCTCTGCCCAGCGAGTGCCTAAGTCACTGGCTTACCTGGAGCAATGTCTCCACCACATCTTCCACTTTCCCCGAAACATCCAGTTCAAAGACATATTCCATTTTGCCCTAATGTAAAGGGGAAACACAGGAAGAGAAGCAGCACTTAAAACCACGTTACTTTAAGAACATGTGCACGGCACCTGCTAAGTTCTGTATGTTTCGATCTTGTATACCTCCCCCCACCACCCACCAAACTCAGGAGACTGAGTATATAGGATTTACTGCTCTCTTTATTAATTCCATCCTACCTTAGGGCTTAGTTTTTTCCTTTATTTTTAATTCCTTGAGGTGTAGAGTTAGAATTTTTATTTGAGATCTTTCTTCAAATATAGATGTTTATAAACTTCCCTCTTAATACTGCTTTTGCTATATCACCTAAGTTTTGGTAGATTGTGTTTTCATTCTCATTTTTCTCACATGTTCTCTAATTTTCTTTTGATTTCTTCTTTGATCCATTGGTTTTTTTTTCTGAAAGTACGTCATTTAATTTGCACATATTTGTGAATTTTCCAGTTCTCCTTCTGCTGTTGATTTCTATTTCCATTCCGTCAGAAAAGACATAATTCTGTGATTTTAACAATCTCCTTGATGGCAATGGAACAGGTCAGAGTCTCTGCAAAAGCGAGTATCCATAAAGACTCCCTGCCTGAGTGTGTGCGGGTGGGGGAGTGAAAGTTCGTCTGAGGGGCAACTCAGGTTCATGCAACCAGAGATCTCCTCTGGAGGTGACTGTGACTTCCTACCACCCTGAGACTGGAGCCCCTGGCACACAGGATCGTCTGCTATTCTTGGAGCTCTCCTGAGAAAAGCCTGCGGAATACAGCGGATCCTCACCACCTGCCGGCCGGCCCACACAATCACCTGTGACAGCAGAGCAGCTTGAGCCCTGAATCCGTGGAGAGAGTAGGTTGGGGGGAGAGGGGCCCCCACCACCAGTAAGGAAACGCTGACTGGTGCCATTTTCTCTGTCCCAGGACCAGGCAGAGAGCTGCATTGCCCCACCCAGTCTCCAACCTAGGACCTAGAGATTATCTCATCGAACTCGGAGAGACAGACACCCCTCCCCCAAGCGGGAACAGGCACAGACACTCAGATCTGAGTGGGAGACTTGACAACAGTGGCAGCAAGCGGGGATGAGTCCAGATCTGATCCACCCTCCTCCCACAGTAGTCCATGGGGCATCTGACACATGCTGAGAGCAACCTGCCCTGAGAGCAGAGGGGAGGGGCTGGACACCAGAGCTGAAGGAAAGTTGAAGTTACAGGAACAGTCTCAGAGTGAGTTTTGGTTCTTTTTGTTTGTGTGTTTTGCTTGTTTGTTTTAGTTTTTTTCCTCTTCTCTCTTTCTTTCTGTTTTTGATTACATTTTCATACTTGCTTTGTTTTTGTTATTTTAAGGCTTTTTTTTTTTTTTAGACTTCCTTTTGTGTATGGGTATTTTTGAGGGAGAGGACATCAATCGGTGGGATTTGTTGGTTTGTTTGTTTGTATGATTGTCTGTATGGGTTTTTTTGTTTTTTTGAGTTGGAGTCTCACTCTGTCACCCAGACTGGAGTGCAGTGGCCGCTTCCGGCCACCACAGCCTCAATCTGCTGGGCTCTGGCGATCCTTCCGCCTCAGCCTTCCCAGTAGCCGGAGTAATAGGCATGCGCTACCACGCCCGGCTGATTTTTTTGATTTATTGTAGAGATGAGGTCTCGCTGCCCAGGCAGGTCTCGAACCTGCGGGCTCAGGCAATCCACTCACCTCAGCCTCTGAAAGGCACAGGATTACAGGCTGAGCCACCGAGCCCGGCCTGTATGGGTTTTTAAAAAATCTTTTCTGTCTTTGTTTGTGTCTCCTTTCATTTGTTAGTTGGTATACCTGTCTGTTTTCCCTCTTCTCTCTCTCCACCTTCCACTCACCCCCCTCCTTTCTTCCATTCTTTTCCTTTTTCTTACCTCATTTTGCTTCTGGGGGCAAGCCTATACCCCCACAGACTGTATGGCACTGGGAAGTGGGTTCCAGGGGGTCCATATACTTGTCAGTGGATACTGGGACCTGTAGATACTTTCTGAATCACAGCTCCTCCCCTTTATTAAATTTCAAAACTGCACAAAGTAAAGCCCCTCCAACCCACAGTCCAGCTTCAGAACTGAACAAAGCCAGAGGATCTATATAAGGAAGAATAGGAGATCGAGCAAACAGAAGTAAAAGCTACCCCCCATCCCTGAACAACAGAATTAAAGAAGGGAGAGGTAAATCTACCCAAATGAAGAAAAACCAAAGAAAGAACATGGGTCTCACACAGACCCCTGGTCAGCCACTGAGAAAATAGACTTCAGAACGCAAACAAAGAAGAACCCCCAGAATGACTGATCTCAAACCACAAACCCAGATATCAAGATATTCATAGAGAGAATAAATAGAAATGAGGATAAGAGGAAAGAATGAAGGAGTTGATAACTGAGGTAACAGCAATAAAGAATACAGTGAACGAAATAAATAACAAACTGATAAGCATGGAAAGCAGAATTAATCAAGCAGAAGAAAGAATCTCAGAGCTTGTAGCCCAAAATACAGAATTAACTCAAACAGTTGAAGACATTGAAGAGAAGCTTAAAAAAACAGGAAAAAACCTCCAAGAGATGAGCGATTATTTCAAGAGGTTGAACCTAAGATTAAGTGGAATTCCTGAGGCAGATAGAAAGACAGAGACCGTCCTGGAACAAACATTCCATGAAATTATCCAAGAAAACTTCTCTCATCTCATTAGTGACACGATCATTCAAACACAAGAGTTTCGGAGAACCCCTGCAAGACTACAAATGAGAAGACCAACTCCTAGACACATAGTAATTTGCCTACACAAAGTAGGTATAAAAGAAAAAATTCTAAAGGCAGCAGGAGAAAAAAGTCAGACTACCTACTGGGAAGACCAATTAGAATAGCAGCAGACTTATCTACAGAAACACTTTAAGCTAGGAGAGCATGAACCCAATCTTCAGTGTTCTCAAAGATAAACAGTTTCAACCAAGAATTACTTACCCAGCTAAGCTAAGATTCATCAGTAATAGAAAATGAAAATCCTTCCCAGACATTCAATCCCTAAGAGCTTATGATGACTCCAAACCAGTCTAAAGAAACACTTAAGAAAGTATTAGCCGGGCTCGGTGGCTCAGCCTGTAATCCCGCACCTTTGGGAGGCTGAGGTGAGTGGATTGTCTGAGCCCGCGGGTTCGAGACCCGCCTGGGCAGCGAGACCTCATCTCTACAATTAAAAAAAAAAAAAAATCAGCCGGGCGTGGTAGTGCATGCCTGTAATTCCGGCTACTTGGAAGCCTGAGGCGGAAGGATCACCAGAGCCCAGCAGGTCGAGGCTGCGGTGGCTGGGAGCGGCCACTGCACTCCAGTCTGGGCGACAGAGTGAGACTCTAACTCAAAAAAAAAAAAAAGTATTAAATGCAGAAAAAAAGGAGAAAAAGAACAACAACACCCTTCACAAGAATGCAGGAAAAAGATTGAAAACACACATGAATCAACCCAAAAATCAAAAGAAAGACAACAAACAAACAGCAGCAGCAACAACAAACTCTATAAGAACCTCATGACAGGATAAACTCTCACACCTCAATAATAAGACTGAATGTGTATAGACTAAATGCACCACTGAAAAGACAGAATAGCAAAATGAATAAAATATCATGAGACAATATATTATCTCCAAAAAACTCATCTCATCAGAAAAGACACTCACAGACTCAAAGTAAAAGGATGGGAAACAAAGCTTTGGTGAAACGAAACACAAAAGAAAGCAGGAGTCACAATCTTAATATTAGACAAAATTCCCTCTAAGCAATCGAAAATTAAAAATGATATGGAAGTTACTACATAATGATAAAAGGTTCAATCCATCAAAGAAATATCTATTCTAAACATATATGCACCCAAAACAGGAGCTCCAACTTTCATAAAGCACCTTCTAAAAAGTCTAAATATTAACTCTAACACTGTAACAGCTGGGGACTTAAATACCCCACTAACAACCCTAGACAAATCATCAGGACAAAAATCAACAAGCAGATGCTTAACCAAATGGTCTTAACTGATACCTACAGAACACTTCACCCAATGACTATAGAATATACATTCTACTCATCACCACATGGAATGTACTCTAAGATCGACCACATCCACGGCCATAAATCAAGCATAAGCAAATTCTATAAGACTGAAATACTGCCATGCACCTTCTCAGACCACAGAGGAATAAAAATAAATATCCAGCTTGGTGGCTCAGCCTGTAATCCCACACCTTTGGGAGGCTGAGGTGAGTGGACTGCCTGAGCCCGCAGGTTCGAGACCCGTCTGGGCAACTTGGCGAGACCTCATCTCTACAATAAATAAAAAACTCAGCCGGGCATGATAGCGTGCGCCTGTAGTTCTAGCTACTTGGAAGGCTGAGGCTGGAGGATCGCTGGAACCCAGCAGGTCGAGGCTGTGGTGGCTGGGAGCAGCCACTGCACTCCAGTCTGGGCGACAG